CAGTTTACAGTTCAATTATGCAGTTTAAATTACATCATCATCATTACTCACTGCATTTAGATAGGCTTATCTATTATACATTATTACTACAGTAACACGCCCTCCTAGTTATTCTTTTTTGTTTATAAAAGAACTCTAGTTCCATCTCCTCGGCCTCGACAACGTTTGCTCTGTCATTATCCTCACTGATCGTCTCGTCTCTGTTTTATTCTGCTAGTTTTATTGCTGTTCTCCAGGCTCCTTTTACTTGCAAATCATGGCAAAAAGTGAGTTATCAAATGTGTTGTAGCTGTTTAATTAGTAAAATTAATCAAATCAAAATGAGCTTGATCTGATGGTCACAAAGCATGCATAAACTCTGGGTGCATGTTTGACCAAATCTTCATTAGTCAAAAATTTCATGAAAATAATCCACTTTCTATCAATGAAAATGCTGCATAAAGTATACTAATGCTCAGGCTCAGTGTAAGACAAATTAAATTTATAAGTAGGATAGCTAGCAAATTGAACAAGATGCTATAATATGCAGTACAAACTAGTACTGCAGAAATGAAAATTATGCATTAGAGTAAGTCGGGGCTATTCCGTCCCCTGTATAAATCAATGTAAAATCCATGTGCAGCGGTTGGAATAGCCCTGGTTAGACAGTCCTCTTTCTCCTGTTGTAACTTTTTAACTATAGCAGATACAGGACTGAAACAAGGACATGTCTATTCAGCATAGAATTCTCTAACTACCAGCACCAAAGAACAGCTTGATCTTTATAAAGTGTGGCTAAGCAACTCTGGCTAAAAATCTATATTCATTAACTTTTTCACGTATTATCACCTAGTGATAGTGCTTGTATATCTCTGGTCACTGCATAAATTTCCCCGTATACTAGTTAGTATCCGGAGGGTTGGAATAGCTCCAACAACTAGGTCAGTGAAAGTACTGCTTTCATCCAAACTTTAAGCTGAATTTTGCTGATTTGACAAAAGTACAAATAGAATAGACAAAATAGAACTCATTGACGAATAAAATGAATGAAATAAAGCAAAGAAGAGTGAGTTATGACTTCATGAATATTTAATTAGATCATAGTGCAGAAACGATCATGGCACATGTATGTAACAATCAGAATCAGTGTCATTTAACAAATTTATTTATTTATTTTTTTCCGATCATAGCAAAAGCTAATAATAAATTAACAAATAATAGATCAATATAGGTTAGATGATATGAATGATTTTAATTTAGAAATAGAGAGAGATAGTTTGATAGAGGACAGGAGAGAGTTCCATGGGAAAAAAGAGTGAAGAAAGGACGAGGATTTGCAAATGATTTTAAGATTGCCTTGATAGTTTGAGTGGAGAGAGTAAAGAGAAGGAGTAGATTGAATTAGAGGATGAGATGGGGGAAAAGCATATTTTCTTTAATTTTAAACAAATTTTGTGTTTCATGTTTTCTTAATGGAGGCATGATCATAGTAGGATGTCTAATATCTATGGGATGTGTTTGTTTTAAATTACTATACTAGAAACTCTTACATAAGCTGTTCCCATTCACTCTCAGGCCTACTCATACACACCCACAAGTCACAACAAGAATACAGATCTTTGTACAGTTTTTTCTTGCAATATACATGTAGGTTGAATTCAACTTAGCTAAGCTATTACATGGCATTATCCTTCTAAGATTTAAATATACCATAACCATTGTAATACAACTTTTAGACTATAGTAACATTATAACTACCATACTATTGTTATCATCCATTGGCTTACCATTCAATTTATATGACACATATTTACATATTTTTTTACTTTGTACAGTATCCAGCAGCAGTACTAGTATTCCTATTGATAAACCTGAAGACACTCCAGCTACTGATGGAATACAAGGTATTCAGGATGATCAGGATCCATTTATGTTATGTTACAACAACACTTATCATAACGTAATTACATCATACTAATTTTAGCTAATATTCATATTATAGTAGTGGCTTTATCTGTGTTAATTTTTAGGAATAGAAAAATGGTTGGAAGAAGGTATAGTTAACCTTGAAATCACTCGTATCAATATGCATGGTGCACCTGGAGCTGGTAAAACATGTTCACAACACCTCCTACTTAATGAGCCACCACCATCTTCTACTGATAGTACACCAATAGCTTGTCGTGCTGTTAAAGCAACAAGAATATCCATTGATGATAGAAATAAGAAGTGGGAGAGGGTTGAAATTCAGGATTTACTTAACCAGTTAGCATCTCATTTAGAAGAAAACATGAAGGAGGAAAGAATATCTTTAGAAGTGGATGAAGCACCAAAACCTAAAAATGATGCACCTAATTGTTCAGATGAATTATCAGTGGAAGAACCAACCAAGATAAAACCAATCGATATGGAAGTAATAAAAAAAATTGCAAATGTTCTTGAAACAGGAAAATCTAAAAAATTGAGCACTAATTGGGTTTATTTTATTGATTCTGGTGGTCAACCAGCATATCGAGAGTTGCTACCTCTTTTTACAAGAGCAGCTGCACTGAATATCATCACCATTGATCTTACCAAAGGTCTTGATGAAAAGTACAAGTTTCAATATCGTATATGTCAAAATGCGATTCCTATTCAGACAAAGCTGCAGTATTCAAATCGTGGTATAATCCAATCAACAATTAGCTCCGAAGCTATGTTGAACCCCATCAAAATTCCTTATGTCTCTGACATGCCTAAGCACCCTCATTATCTTATACTTGGAACACGTGTAGATGAGCTGAAAGAGAAAGGTATGCTTGATAGACTGGATTATATGAATAAGAAGCTGATAAATGAAGGCTTTAACAATCTCATTAAGCCGCAAAATGAGGGTAAAGGTTCAGTTATATTTCCAGTTAATACGTTGCTCCCTGCTGGGTCTAAGGAAAGAGAAGAAGCTAGTGTAGAGCTTTGTACTGCAATTTCTCATTGTAGAGTTGCCATGACAATTATGTTACCGATTCGACTGTTTACATTTGAGATTTCACTACAATTAGAAGCTAAAAAGAAGCAACAAAGTTTCCTTACAAGAGGAGAAGTGATTGAGATTGGTAAGTCTCTCCAACTTGATGATGAATCAGAAATTGATGATGCTCTGCAATATCTACACAATGTCACTATCATTCTTTATTATCCTGCTGTCCTACCAAATATAATATTTGTTGATCCTAAACCAGTTCTTGATGTCCTTTCATGTTTAATTGCTATCAGATATGTCGACCATAAAGATCGACATTTGATTGCTAATCCACCTCCTTCACCAGATGAAACACGTGACTTCATAAAATATGGGCTTTTTAAAGGAGATTTTATAAAAAGTATTGGTAAAAAATTTTTTAATAAAGATTTTAAATTGTCTCACATGATCACTCTTCTAAAACACCTCCACATCATTGCTAAAGTAGAAAACAGAGAAGAAGGAGACTATTTTTTCCCTTGTGCATTACCATCCTATGACAAGCTCAATCCTGCCTCAAAAGTAGTAAGGCCACTTCTCATAGCATGGGAGATTCACAATAGGGGCACAACAACTCTAGCCATCCCCCAAGGATTATTTCCTTTAACCATTGTACACCTTTTAGAGAAAAAGGATATAGTAGACTTTTGTCCAGTAGGCAAAGAATATTACAGATGTCATGATGCGATGTCACTTTGTGTTTACGAAAAATACTACATAGATATCATCAATTGCTATACACATATCGAAATACGTTTTGATGATTGCAAGGAATCTTGTCCAGAAATTCGTAAATTAGTCACAGAAGCTATCAAAAGAAGCAGCAAAGATCTCAATGTTGATGATGATCATATTTTTGCATTCAAATGCCCCAGCGAAAATGAACAATGTTACTGTATTGTTCAGGAAGATAAATATTCTGCCAGATGTACTCAATGTCGATCAAAATGTGACATACTACAAAGTGATGATGATAGCTATGAATGCTGGTTTAATAATCCTCAATTACCCAGTCCAGGTTAGTAATATTATATGAATACTTTCATTATTTGGAAGCTACTATTTTTGTGAATTTTTTCTAGGAGCTGAAAGTCCCTCTACTAAAATGCAACCCACTAAATTATTAGGTGAGTGAATTAAAATTAAATGACATATTTTAATTTACATGTTTCTTCATTAGATACCAGTAATCTTATTGATGTACTTGATGTACTGGATGATCATGGATATTCTGGTGTCAGTTATTATAAACTTGGTCTTTGTCTGGGACTACTCCCTCGTACACTTGATGTTATTAAAGAAAATAACAAAGGAGATACTAAGAGCTGCCTAAGGAAATGTTTGACAGCATGGTTGGAACAAAGAGATAGTGTAATGAAGAGAGGTGTTCCAACTTATGATACATTAATACGAGCATTGAGGAAGATGGGAGAGAATGCTGCAGCTGATGGGATTGAAAGAGGCATCAATAGTAAGGAATGAGTTTAATACATATCATGTTAACATGATGATAACATGACAAAGAGAATGGTGATAGAATTGTATTTTTAAAGAAGTTATAAATGATGAAATAATAATTGTCATTTTATGTAAATGATGTTAATTTTTATAGCAAAACAGCTGGAAGAAGATGAAGTTGAGCTTAAAGCCACCAATATCAATATGCATGATGCACCTGGAGCTGATGGTTCACAACACCTACTTAATGAGCCACCACCTGAAAAACTCACTGATAGTACACAAGAAAGTGAAAGTAAAGAAGAAAGTAATTAAGTTTTTATTAATAATTTATTCTTAACACTGATATAGCACTTATATTTTGTGGATAATAAATTTTGTAAATTTATAATTCGGCAAAATTGAATTCAATCAAAATTTATATGCCACACCTTGTTCAACAAATAAATTAGTTGTTACACAATTTTTTTTATTTGCAAAAAACAATTTTGCATAATTTTATATCCACAAGGTAATATTCTATGATTTTTGTATAGGTACTGTTCCTATAGCTACAGTAGCTGATAAAATTGATACAGAAAGTAAGAAATAAGATTTTATTACATTAATTGCTAACTCGTGATTAATATTCTTTTGTGTATAATAGGTACTGCTGCTACTGCTACTGTAACTGATAAAATTGATACAAAAAGTGAGAAATAAGATTTTATTTGTACCATATTTGCTCAATTAAATGTATGAGCGTTTATTGAAATAATTGTATAAACTAAAATTAAAATGCCAGCAAGTGGACTTAACATGACCTTGGGATAACAATACTGTTACTTTAGCAATCTAAATTTTACGACCTTAATTGTATTGTGTGTATAGTTAGAAGATATTAGTGATGAGTGTTCAAAGCATTTATTCAAGCAAATATGATTATTTTTTATTTATTTAAATTTAAAAAACAAAAATCAACAATATAAAAAAATGCTAAGTGAAATGATGTGATTTATATCATTAAATTTTAGAAATAGAAAAATGGCTGAAAGAAGGTAAAGTTGAGCTAAAAGTCACTCGTATCAATATGCATGGTGCACCTGGAGCTGGTAAAACATGTTCACAACACCTCCTACTTAATGAGCCACCACCTGCACAGGCTACACCTTCCAACTGGACATGGGGCCAAGGACTTTGGAAAGTACTCGAGTACTTTTTTAAGTACAACAGAACTGCTTCCACTGACAGTACACCGATAGCCTGTCCTGTTGTCAA